TTGGTTTCTGGTCCCTTTCTTATGATATAGTAAACATTAAAAATAAGCAAACAGACCCATGACCCAAGCCAATGTGTCAGGCTGCTACGTTACTAAAAATACGTTTATCACGCAGGCGAAGTGAATGGATAATATTATAGTTAGTAGGCTGGATGGCGATATGCCTGAAGGTAATCAGAAGTAAATCCGCCCTGCCCGTGTCGGTCGGGGCAGAGTTCAAGTGCTAGAAGTGTTCTGGCCGCCAGTGCATCTGCCTGGTGAAGTGTATCGTGTTATTTAAAGGTTTATGCAACGCGATTGTGCTATGGGCTCGATGCTGGGTTTATCGTAAATGAACCATTCTGTATTACCAGCCGTTGAATAGAGCAGAGGCATGAGGCAGCGCTATCTGCCGCTGTAGACGCAAGCAATCACGGGGGTTGGATAGAGCACTGACGCATAGTTATATGGTCATAGTAGGGATTGAGAGATAAAAAAGGCGGCTATTAAAGCAAAGTATGGTTAGGTACATGGGTAGTTATCGTGCGTGGATGCATGGGGTATGGTGGTTTTGCGCTTCCTCATATACAGTATTTTTACCGTTGTTTGCAAGCTCCACTGTCCTGCTGTGAGACTTGTGTCTAGGATGTGTTTCAGCGTGGGCCAGTGCTGTGATTCAGTTGCACTGACATCCACAATTTAGCCACAGCTAAAAATATCCTTTATAAGCTAATCGCCTGTTAGTGTTGTGTTCTACTGGTGACTATAGCCAAACCCACAAACTGAAGACACTGCAAGAGTAGGTTTCATAAGGAAGCAAGTGTGCGTCCTCTGTATTCAATGTATCTCTACATTTAAAGTCATCTTGCAGCTGTTGGAATCACAAATTAATGCTTTTCCTTGCAATGGTCAACCTCTGAATAGGGGTTGAGACGGGTTGTATACGTTGTGTGACGCCGAGGCTTCTTTTTGTGTTTGGCATGAGAGAGGATGTTGCATAATAACACTCTTTTTTTTTTTTTTGTTCGTTTGGGCTTGTCCACCTGGCTCAGAGCTGGAAAGAAATGCTTTGTGAAAGAGATGTTCTGTGTTCCCCCTGGTTGAGATATCGCTTTGAGTCAGAGGCCAGACCACTAAGCACCAATTCAGCGTCCGTGGCATACTTTTTCCACCAGTATCTGCTGACTGTTGAGGCGACTGCAGGACACGTATGCCAGCACTGAAATGTCGAAGATCTTGCCTATTTATAGTTAAGTGCTGGAAAATCTTGCTGGAAAACCGCCTTGGTTTCTCGCATCAGTTTACTTTTTATAAGATAATAACTTTGCTACCAGAGATCCGGAACATTCGTTTGGAAATAAACTAAAAGAGGAACCAGTCGATGAATATAAAGATCTGTTTCACGCATATATTCGATCCCTCACATATTAGCAATCTGCTCGACTGCATGAGTACCTAGTTGATTGCTTCAGTTGGAGCGTTGTGTTTTATGGACTTCTATTACAGTTAGAGACGTTCTATGCAATTGGCCTCTTTCATAGAGGGTCAGTTTTGCTGTTGATTGTTTTGGGTGCCAAGTGGTTTGGTCGAATAGGTCGCTTCTCTTCCTCCTCCTCGCGCTCTCTCTCTCAATGCTCTAAGCCTCAAAACGAGCACCCATGGAAGTGTCTTTTATATGTCTGAGGCCGTTTAGACTCATTTATAGAATGGCTTGATGAGTCATCTTGGTTTAGTGTCTGGTGGTTAGTGCCTGAGTGGTAGTGATTGGCAATAAGTGTGGTTAGAATCAAGCACATAACACATAATTTGCTGTAAAAGTGGCATCTTTTTTTTTTTGACTTGGTCGCTGTAGGTTTAGACCTTTAGAGAAATGCACTGCTGTGGCACCTTTGGCTTCTTTGAGCCTGTGCATCAGGAGGGCTGCTGAGTTTAGTGCTGTGACAATGTGGGACTTAGTCTGGTGAATAGTGGTGAGTCCAAGCACAAGATCGCCGTGGACTGAAGACAGGCCCAACCATAGAGTTATTGATATGGAGATGAACTCGCTTGCAAACTGTTAGACGAACAGAGATACCAAGACACAAGGTCTGGTTCACATTGGTTTGCTACTCCTGTTTCACTTAAGTGTAGTTGTTTGTGTTCCCGAGCATCCAGCTCTATTCTTGTTCCTATATGGATAAATGCAATATGAACTACGATCTGCCTCCAGCATCTGGTTTTTTGTTATGAATCTCTTTTTGAGCATTCTGGTGACATGTACGGTCTCTCGCAGCTGTTATATAGGTTGTTTGTAGACTGTGAAACAGTAACCATTGTGGGTGGCTGATGAACAGTGCTTTGGGCGCTCACTGGGTAGTTGTAGCCTGATTATATCCTGTAATTGTTTCCCGACATGAGAATCTGATGACAACGTTCTATGCAGGTCAAGTATTTGTTAATTATTGTTATAATTACTAATTCTCATATCGCTATCTAAGGGGCACTTGGTAGTCTTGCTTTATATTGTATCCCAACATGTACATGTATCAGTGACTTTTACGTTGACTGTATTTTTCGATAGTCATTGAGAGAGAAGGTATATAAGATGTCATGTTCTTAAGTGAGAGCTGGTATCATTGGAATAAATACCGATTATGGACGCACTGTCACTTCCTTCCATAGCATACTTGCTCTATGTAGCCGTCATCTTCCACATTTACGAGACTACAAGCTCAGAACACCGCACGCTATAAATAATATCAGTTGATTTGGCCTTATCCTGAGAGCTTTGAAACTTTGTTATGGCGGCCAGATTGGCCTGTACAAAGCAGGAAAGGGAGTACAAATATAAACATATGCAATAAAAGCGATCAAACGTACTACACATATGGTAAGGGAGTTCTTGGGGAAGGGTTTCATATGAAGCGATAGTGCGGTAGTATATAGAATGGATTACCTATCGAGCTGGGTTACTGGTATATAAAGCGTATTAGGTATATAGGGTCTGGAGGGATTATAGAAACCTTCAAGAATTATCCTTTTGGTCCTTACCATTGTGTATATTTGGACCCTAACCCACCTTGTGTAAGTCGTACATTTAATATTTTACACTGAATTGCTTCCTTTTGTATTAAATGTAAATCATAATTGTATTGTTGTTGTTGGTTGCTATTAGTAGTGCTTTAATTAGAAAAACTTGAGTTTTTCATACCAAGGAAAAAACTTAAACCCACATTACATCATTGAGTGCCAACAACACAAAAGGACATAACATCTACGCTACTGCCTTTTTTTAGTTTGCTGTCCACAGTGCGAATAACATGGTGTGTTAATCACCTTTAAATGATTCTGTAACTTTGCTGGCCATTAAAGGACCACTGGGTTAGTTCTTAGGTCTGCACACTGGAAAAAACCCCAGAGTGAAATGTACAGTCTTGAATTATTCCGCTCCTCTTTGGATTTGACTCTCCCCCACACTGTTAGATTTACAGTCTGTGCTATAGGACTTGTACTCCCTCCTCCTCTGATGGCCTGCTGTGAATCACAGTCCAAACCTCTGATGTCACCTCTGAGGCTCCACTACAATGGATGCTGGGTTTTATTCAACAGGCCTCAAACTGTTGGAGCTTTACTTTTGCATTGTCCTTAAACAAATGGTATCGGTGCCTTGAACCAACTGAAACAACAGAATAAACATAGAAACAAGCTGCAGCCGAGAGCCTCGTCTACCGCCATGGATTTGTTTCTTGACCCTGCTCTCTTTTCCCCCTCGAAAACTGCGGAGTGGGAAGCACTCCACACTTTTCTTCCCCTCATTTCATCTCCTCCCCGAGCTTTGTTGTTTCAGAGGTGTGAAAGAAGCTGTTGTGTTATTACCATCATCAGCATATCTTTTGTTCTGTCAACAGAATGCTCTCCCTCAGTCTTGTTGAGCCGACATATTATTCCATCAACATTAGGCGTTTGAAGTCAGCAGACCATGTGAAACCCAAATATGGCAACATTCACAGCGAACAGTATGTTCTCAGTACAGATCTGCTGCTGATATCGGATTGTTCTTCTTGCTGCTAAGTGTCAAATCCACATCTGATGTCAGGATTAAAAAGGACTATATATGTTAGTTTCAATTTAAGGCTGAGATTTGAGACTGTCCCTTTTGACGCATTTGATAATGTTCCTGCTGTTTTCACTTGTGTGTCTGCAGTCTGACCTCACAGCTGTTTGATGTATCATCATTGAAAGCACAATGTGAAGTGCTGGCTGCCAGACTTCTTTCATAGCTGAAAAATGCTACATTCAACCTGGTATGACCCATCTTCGTAGGAGTATTTGTGTTATTTCATAGTAGATGTCTTTTTCCAAGTGGTGCTTTCATTATTCTATCGATTGTTCAGGCTATCACAGATGTACTGTATCTGTATGAGAGTGTATTGGTAGAACTGGTAGATGTATAAAATTAAAATCCAGTGCAGTAAAGTGTTTTATATCATGTTTATGTATTTCTGACCTTATGTATTTTACATTTATGTATTTTTATTTATGGTTATATAAAATAATTTAAACAGCCTTACAGTGAAGTTTACTGTTCAAATTTCCTATTCTGTTATTACATTATGCCATTACTGTTATCTTTTGTAACGTTTATTGTTCAACTGTAAAATATCCAGCATAACTTTCTATGAAACAGCCTTTAAGGGCATACCTACCCCACTGTAGGCTGCATGTATGTAAAGCTCGAAGCAGCATTTTGCTGTTTTCACTGATGTATAAAACATCTGTTCTGTGCGACCCTCTGTGACCCGTGTTTATGTGTGTGTTTATGACATGATATCCTCGATAATGACACTTTCACAAAAAGCTAGCGCGGCGCTAATGTGATACAAGTTAAGTTTGCAGTTTGTCATTTCCATTAGCAACTTAAATAACAGGGTACAACTGAAACAGCACACAAGGACAGAACCAAACACATCTCATAAGCTGTAATATCATCTCTTATCTGTAATTGAGGCCAGGAGGCAGCACACAGCAGTACAGTATCTTACCTTATAGTTACGGCAGGTGGGATTGAAGGCGTTGGTGCCGCAGGCGAAAAGTGTCTCGTCATTGCGTGGCACCAGCACTTTGATGTAGTTGTAACATTCGTCCTGTCAGGAGGAAAACAGCTTGATGTTATTGTCCATTAGGGACCATGAGATCCATGTTGGCTTCTGGCACACTGATGACAGAATGAAAGGAGGACTTGCAGCAGGTAGACAGTGCATTTTACTGGCTGACACACACGCATGCAACCTTCTCTCTGTTTTACACTCATTATCGTAATCCCCAGGCTGATTCTTGTGGTTTCAGCGCAGCTCTGGGGAGGAAAAGCCTCAGTCTGTCGTCTCCTGATGGATGTGCCACGGATTCTGATAAGCTAGCTGCACACCTTTGCTTATTACAAAACTTCACTGTGCAGGAAACGAAGGCAGAGGCAAAGGGAGACAGTGAAAGGAGTGAGAAATAAAACCAAAAGCAAAAACAGAGAGAGGAAGATGTGTATGTGTCTGGAAGAAAATACTTACGCTGTTTTTCCCTCTCACAGTGCACTTCTCCACATCCTTCGTCTTCCAAGTCAGTTTCTGAAAAGTGAACAGACAGCCAACTGTCAGCTCAAAGACAAGCTGTTTCTCACCATCCCCGTTTTTTGTTGCTCCCAATCGTTCAAGTGCTATTATGAGACAGCTGTGATGAAAATCTCATTAACTTCAATAAACTGTCGTGAAGAAAAACAAACAGAGAAATATCAGGAATGCCTGTGGCGGCCCGCGCAGCTCGTCAGTGGGCAGCTAAACATTGTGGTTCCTCAGTGATAAAAATCACTCTGCAAGATAAGTCTAGATCTATGAGAACACACACACACACACACACACACCAACAATCTACAAAGGATGTTTGCATCACTTCAGTGTCCATATAAGGAGCTGTCAATTAGCCCCAATTAACCTACTGGCCAAAAGCCCTGCCCTTAGTCTTCCCACACACCAACACTCACTTCCTGTATCAGTGCTAGTCGTCCAGTGGGTTGTTATAGAACAAGATCCATCAACTTGTTAACAAGCTCTGCCAGCCGAAGGTTTAATGTGCTTCCTTCCACTGTGGGATAATTTATTGACCCGAATTTTCTCAGAGCTCATAAATACCACTGAGGATGCTGGCGGTTGTGTACACTTGTGTTTCAGTTCCAAGTCATTCAGAAGAATTCTTTTGTCAACAGTATTTGAGCGGACAGAAGCTTGATGTCTCAGTCAGAGACATATCAGCACTGTAGAATTATGGGACCGCTTCTCCAAGCAGCAGCAGTGCAGGATGGTCTGGGAATCTGATTACTGTCTGTAGTTTGTGCTTGAGGCAACTCCTATGATATTTCAGACAAGGTTTTATTGCCAGTTGTGACTCAAACACATTGTGGTTTCACCTACTTTTTAGTCTTGACTTCTCCTGCACAACCAACTATATATTATGATATAATTTTAAATGCATAATATATAACCTCAATCCTATAACTTGTTAAGATGTGCACATTTTTAGTTGTGTTGAGTCTGTACTTGTTCAAAGACCAAAATGTTTGCACACAGAGTAATATCTCAGGAATGCATATCACAAAATGTGGATTCTCTGTATGAATACCTTTTAATCCTCGATTTATTTCTACTCTTTGTTTCACAGTGTGTCTTTGTGTCTCCACTAAATGAAAGACAAAACTAAAGTGAAAAATGTGTCACAAAAAAGAAAAGAATATGCATCAAGTGGGAGTCCAAGTCCTATGCCTTAGGTGCTTGTACATTTCTTTTCATTTTTCTGCTGTTTAGGTCTTAAATTCGAATCAAGGTGTTTTCATCTACAACCTTACAATAAGCCACCCTGTGGTATAATACATTTTGATGCCTTATTGGAGCCAAGGGGTCACTTCGCTCTGACCATAAGTTCCTGAAACACAATTTGTCCCACAAGCCCCTTGTTCTCAGGGCTGGGTTTCCATCTTATCAGAGAGCTTTCAGTCCAGCAATCAAATCAGAAACTACTTATGAGAGGTGAATGCAATCTAACTGCCGGGAAAACAGGGAAACTGGCACTTGATGAAGAAAAGACATGCATCTTAATGTTTGAAGGCTCCCTGCTTTATACTTCCAAACATACTAAACCAACATTTTATTTTTATTTCCACTGCCTACAGTATGATGAATGTGTTAAAGGATTATGGCTGGCTTGATTCTATATTTTTCATTATCATCAATAAATCCCTTGAAAAACAAACAAAATTAAAAATGTGTTAGTCATTCAATATTACTTTCCTATCGTGTCTGTGGCACTTAGCCCTTTTATGCAGACATACCTCTTTTGCAATAGGTCTTAAATACATAATGTAATTTAAAAAAGGCTCAGTGATTCCCTAAAACTGCTGTGTACTGTATTTAGCCAACACTGTTTAAACACAAGTAAATAATGCATTCATTGGGGACTATTTTCAGCTGCGGATTAATACACATGAATGTGTTTTTTACATCAGCTGGATGGTGTATGTGGGTCATCTGTAAACCAGTGCAACAGTGCCAATGCTTGTTAATAGGATCAGTTCATTGTTGGTTTTGGTCTTTTCAAGCGATTTGTTAACAATAAGCAAAATATAGAATATTTATCTTCGCCATATCCTTTATGGGGAGATGTCCTCAGCACTACATGGTGTTGCACATCTTTTCTCTGTTTGACTGTCACATTTTTGGAAAAACAGAAGAAAATCTATCCACAAAAAATGATGATTATTATGATGATGAAATAAGCTCAGTCAGAATAGTATCAACAGTATAGGACTCTTCGGCGTCTCTGACTTTAAAGGCAGCACTCTTCCTTCCGGGTCCACGCATGGAACATCTCCGGTGCGACTTTGTGAAGATCTGACACGATTCAGTAGGAGTCAGCATTATGGTAATAGTCCCTGCCTTTTCCACGCTCGATTTGGTTTACTAATAATTACTTATGGCCACCCAGGCCTGGGGAGATCAGTGAAGGGCAGAATATGAATGAGCACCCGGTGTGAAAAATGAAGAGGTACTTTAAAAATGATCCCGAGTTAAGAAATGGATCTGTGATGAAGACGATGCACCATTTTCTGGTGATATGAGACAGTCACAGACTAACGACCAGGCTCAGACAGATAACAGGAAAAGGAGAAGGAGAATGTGACAGCTGAATATGAGTATACTCCTCAATAACTTTCCACTCAGTTCCTGCTGTCACACTGGAGGCGGCAGAGGCTTGAATGAATGGATAAAAAATGCATCATATACAAACATTCAATATCCAAGTTCTCATATAACATAACTGAAAAAAGATGGACTAGCATTGTAGTGCTCAGAAGTCCCCATTTCTTTGTGCCACAGTCTACAGCCAAATCAATAGTTTAGATCTCCTCGACATGGAGAGTTGGCCTTATCAGAATGAATATCCGTGTTTAGCACTAATCTAAATACAAGCAAACAAAAGTCCAGGCCTCAGAGGGATTTTATTTAAGTGCAATCATGTTTGACAAATGAGATTCAGATAGGAGGGAGCATGGCACTTCAAAAGCCACAAGAGCCCCGCTCCACTTGTATTGGATATATGTCTGAAGAGAGATTGCTTAATACTTGAATGAAAAGTCAGGCGAAGGGTAGAGAAGGGAAAATAATGATACACACATTACAAAGACTTTTTTTTTCTGTGGTTCAGAAAAACAACAACAGAATTGTTGTCTTAAGTTTAAACAGCACTGCCTTGTATTAAAACCCGGCTTAAGAACAGGTATATCATCCACAATATCACTACTGACATGCAAAAACCCAGGTTAAGTTATGTGATAGATTTGGGGTTTTTAAATCGTATATATTTAATCAACATAGAATCCTAAACCTATTTTGTCATTAACTGCAGAAAAACGTCATTATCGGTATTGATTTCGAAGGATCAAGAGGTATCAAACACTCTTGAAATGTCAGAGCTTCACAGTAAGAATTCAACCTGGATATGAGTTTTTGCATTGAGGAAAACTAATTAACCACTAACCAGCTAACTTTAAGCCTTGATACAGTTTAAAAACTCAACCCTCATTAGGGCTTTGACTCCGAACTTCGTTATTCGAATATAATTCGAATATTTACAAAAATAAAGATATTCGAACGAATATTAGGCAGCCCTTAATATTCGAACCTGTTATGGGCATTATTTTTTTGTAAATGTGTTTGCTTGTAAACGTTGTTTTCAATTCAGATTCCGAAGCTCATTAGCAAGGCTATTATTGGTCATCTGGGCTCCTGTAGGTGACGTTAGCGTCCTGGTTAGCGCCTATTTTGTATACCAGAACAATGGCCGCGCCAACGCCTACAACAACTACACCTGAGGAGTTCGAAGTCTACACTCCAGACCATCTGAAAAGCAACGTGTGGCGCTACTTTGGGTTCCCAAAGGAACAGGGAAAAATCACGACTAAGGACAAAGTGATATGTAAAATATGTAGGACCAAACTCACATACCACGCGACGACGGGCAAGACAACTTGAGAGCCCCACCTGCTCAACACTACATCCCGGCAAGCTGGAAGAGGAGGAGGGATCGGGGGCGAGCCAGGCCAGAATCGCGACTCCAGCGCTCTCTCCTTCACCGAGGCTCCCCTTGATGCCGGTCAAAGCATACGAGAGCGACAGATTTGCTGACACGGTTCGTTTGCGAAGATATGAGGCCCATTAACGTGATATATGGGAGCGGGTTGCAAGCTTTCGTCCACGAACTAGAGCCAAGATTCAAGATCCCCTGCTGAATGGTAAAATAATAAAGCTGTACGACACAACCAAAGGTGGCATAAGGGAAATGTTGCGTGGAGAAAAACTTGCACTGATGGGTGGAGCTCTTTGGCTACCGAGTCCTATGTTACGGTCACAGCCCATTTCATCGACGAGGACTGGGAGATGAGAAATGTCGTCCTGGACACGTCTGAGCTTCAAACTGCTCACACATCAGCGAATGTCTCCATATGCATCGACAGTATTCTACGAGAGTACCACATTGAGCGGGAGTCTGTGCTTGCCATCACAACAGACAATGCGACCAACTATGTCAATGCTGTAGAGAGGTACTTGGGGATCACGGATATCCCGTGCATGGCTCACACAATTAACTTGGCAGCGAGAAAAGGGCTTGCAGAGCGTTCCGTTGCAACAACAGTCAGTCGCCTGAAGGCTGCCGCTCAGCATTTCAAGCACTCCCCTACAGACAGCTACCTCCTTGAGTCCAAGCAGAAACTCCTTGGTCTCAAATCAGTCCAGCTCATTAACGACTGCCCCACTCGCTGAAACAGTACATACCATATGATCTGTCGGGCAGCTGATCAACAAGCCGCTGTTGCAGCGGTGATAATGGAGAAGAAACTCAGCCGTCTGGAGCTCAGCAGTGTGGAGTGGACCCTAATGGAGAAGGTCAGTAACGTTGGCTAATTATGTTGGGTCTAATAATATTAGGTCCCTAATGTTAACATTACTGTTTGCAAACACAGTAGCTAAGCTAAGTTTGTGTTTTGTGTAACGTCAAGTGGCACATAGCCTAACTGCGCTTACTAGCTAGTAGTATAGCATGTTAGCTAGCTATCTAACGTTAGTGGCGCTAGGATAAGCTTGTTATTAATTGTGTGTTCGTCCCGCAGGTGAAATACGTGCTGAAGCCATTCAAAGTAGCCACCCAGGCCCTGTCAACAGAAAACTACCCAACAGCATCAGCGGTCCTCCCCCTGCAGTATGTGCTTCTGACACAACTCAATCCCTCCACCGATGACCCGGCAGGACTGAAAGAGATGAAAACAATGATGTCAACTGATCTGAAGGCACGATATGGCCCCGACAAAGATGCATTCTTCCTACTGAACACAGCCAGCTACCTCGACTCGCGTTTTCACCGACTGGTTCATTTGGAACAAGAGTCGCGGCAGGCAGTGTGAGATAAGGTTCAGAGGGAGTTTGCCGAGCTCAACGAGGAGACAGGCGGAGAGGAAGGCCAAGAGAAGAACGCCACGACTACGGAGCCACAGCAGCGCAAGGAAAAGAATGCTCTTAGCGCGATGGGGGACCTCTTTGGCGATGTGTACTGCCAAAACTCGGCAGAAGGTAATAATGATGATATTATTATCAATAATAAATAATACAAAAACGTTTAAATTATCGAGTGCCTTTCATAACAACTCAAACTCGCTATATAGCCCTACACTGGAAATATAAAAAAGTGCATTATAAAACATAGCCTAAACAGCACATTAACAAAAACGAATTTATTTTTTAACAGTCAAACCGAATGAAGATGTGCTCCAAAGAGAAATGATGGCCTACGACAGTGAGGCCCCACCCCCATCTGACAGCAAGCCGCTGTCCTGGTGGAAGGAGAGAAGCCCCATCTCGCCCAGCTGGCACGCGGCTACCTGGCAATATGCGGGACATCTGTGAGGGCGGAACGAGTGTTTTCCACCGCAGGGAACATAGTCACAAAGCAACGTTCTTCTCTAGAGCCAGAAAATGTGAATCACCTTGTCTTTTTGGCTAACAACCTAAAAAAGTATGCAGCCAGATAAACTGCAGCCAGCCAGATAGCCCATAATGGCGAGTTCTAATTTAGGCCTACATGTTTGATTGTTGGGGATACAGCCCTGCATCTCGAAGTGTTCTAATCTACATGATTGATGGGGATTGGGGAGGGGAATGCATCCCGAGTGTTCGATTTACATCTCAAAGTGCCTTGTTCTTGGTAATTGCTGTCAGATCACATAGGATGTGCTTGTTTTGAATAGGTCTACCGAATAGGGCCTACCTTTATTTATTTTGTCTTTTCAGTACTTAGCCTGACTGGCTTATTTTTATTTATTTTTGATAACAGTGGATAAAACCCAGGTCTGACTTTTAATAAAAATAAAAAATAAAGTTTTTTTTCTTCTGAAAACATCATTGCCTGCCTATTGACATTAACTGATACACTGCCCTCTGGTGGACACTACATATATAGCTTAAGTTTGATACCAATATAGGTCTTACTGAAGGCATTTAATGGTCAAAATATTATTAATCAATATTCAAATATATTCAAATATTAATATTAATAAACAAACAAACTTCAAATATGATTTTTGGCCAAAAGTCAAAGCCCTAGTTTGGGATCCACAATCCGTGCATCTTCAAATTCAACCAAGAGCATTTCACAAGCAAAGTGTCTTCAGAGCATGTTGCCTGCTCGACACTGTTTACTTTTGTATTCTGTGTTATAAAATGATACAAAACTGTGTGTATCTCCACTTCAAATCTCCTCTAATCTGCCTCTGACTGACTCACTTCTTGCCTGTTGCCACAATGTTGATGTATTGTGAAATTTGACCCGGAGTCTGCACGCAGTATTTTATTTTGAAAATTGACCTGATTCTCTATGCTTTTTTCAGTTTCTGACTTCCTGCCAGCGCTATCTGCTCTGTGCTTCTTGGCACAAGAAGGTCGTGGCTTCCCTCAGAAATAGACCAGCGGCGTATTCTCAGCAAAGAGAGGCTTTCAGAACGTACTGCAGCACTTTTGGTGGGATTTTGAGCATCAGCAAGAACGGGCGTAATCAGTTCCAGCAATCGCGGCGGAACTGGAACGTGGTGCAGCTGTGCCCCGTGGAATATGGGGGTACGCACTGAAAGTAGTCAAAGTACTGACAACAGTTGAAGAGTAAGACATTAAAGCAATTAAATTTTTAGTTGTTGTTAAAGTAATAAATGAGTTGATGTGCAACTTTAAAATAAGTAGAAAAAGCTAACAACACATGTGGTTTAACTGTATATGATCAAACATGAGTCACAGTCACTAAAGCTGTACGCTGTACACCACTACTGGATTCATGCTGGGCTCTGTACTTTTAAACTTTAATATTATTTCTGCAGTTATCAACATAGAGTAGTTGAGCATGAAGAAGGCTAGTGTGATTCTGAGCTAATCTGTGGGAGTTGTTACGCAACAAATGTTCACCTGCTGAACCAGCATTCAAACATTTTAACCAGCCTCTCATATTCGCACAAGGTGCAGATTATTCTGACCAGGGCCTAATACTGTGATTGAGGAACAAAAGGCTTAGTATAAACACACCGACCCAGGCCAAACACAACAACTGGTGTCAAATATCAGGAGGCAACAGCCGTCTCTGTACGGTGCCTACTGGTGTCTTTGAACATTGAAATGTGCAGTCCTGTCTTACCTCTGTGACTGGCAGCTCAAGCTGAACCATGTCCTCAGGCTTGGGCACTGGAGGCTGGAGGGCCGTGTCTAGAAGCAGGATGCCGTTCAGGTCCTTCCTGCATCCCACTGCATAGTCGTCCACAAAAAGCACCTTGTCCACTGCAGGAAAGTACTGACACCTGACACGTCCACCGGGTTTAGCTGTGAGGGAGCAGAGGACAGCACACAGTGTGAGAAGGTTTGAAGGAGAAAGGCATTTGTTCTGACAAACAAGTGTGACTGGCCACCGCTGACACTGATCATTTGATCTACAGACAAACTATTTCTGAAACCGTAGAACTAAAAACAGATCTATTTACCAGTAGTATTTGCTCCTTTGCTGCATTCCCTAAGTAGTGAATAATGGCTTCACTAAAGTATGACGTGTTTATCTATCGTGCTGTCATTTAAACAGTGTCATGTTTGTACACATTAAGCTTCATCTTCCTGACTACAACTCACTGAGCACTCTCCATTTGGTCTATTGGCTTAAATGGGTGCTGATATTATTGTTATTATTATTATTAATTATTATTACTACAGTTACTATTATTACTATTGTCACTGCTCATTGCTAATGTCACTGATATTATTATTACTTATATTATTATTAGTGTGCCTGAAAGCACTTTACTACTATTCACCATACTTATTATTCTTCTTCCGTACGTTTTTCGGTCGACTACTCCTCCCGCAGTTTTGGTCGCACATACACTCACACACACAGACAC